ATGGTTACCTAAAGCGTGTACCCATAGTGTGCTTAGGGGCTGACAGCTGGACCTGGTCAACTATCAAGTCTTAGTTTAACTGGACCGTTGACTGGTCAAATGGGTCAGACCTCACATGTCAGTGCCCCTGCTTTAATTAACAGTGTATTTATTTACTAATTAGACTAACTAAGCTGCAGGTCTCACTGTTAATGTGATTAGGCTAATTAACTAATTACTAATCATTTAATTAATTAAGCCACTAATTATTTACTTTATTATTATTATTATTATTTTTTTCTTTTCTAATGGGGTCGGCCACACACTAAGAGCACACACGCACACACACCACGCAGCACACTCGGCCATGGCCGTGGCTGCAAGGAAGATGGACGCGAGAGAGACTGAACTCACATTCACTGATACATCACGAGTGTACATATATACAACCCATGCACACGCAGGTGAGGCCAACTAACACCATAACAAACTCCACTAATCTAGTAGTATACACGCAGTATGACCAGATGACCAGGTAAGTATTCACGTACGAGCAGGCGGTAGAATAGGATTCTCCAACAGTGGTCATGGCCAAAACGAGCAGCAGGCAGCAGGAACAGAGTTTTAGCGGCAGCAACGGCAACACATGAGGCAGCGGCCACGAGCAGCAGCAGTTGGGAGGCGCGCGGCAAGAGCAGCAGTAGACGCAGGCGGGCGCGGCGCGGCCGCGCGTGGCGGCAGCAGGAGCAGCGCGAGCAAATACTCACGCACGTACGTACGCGTACAAGCGGACTCGGATGAGCTCGGGACGGCAAACGGCGACCAAATCAAGGCTGAGGAAGGGGGAATCCGGAGGAGAAGCTCACCAAGGAGCCGGGGACGTGGTCGGGGAGGCTGGGGACGGTCGGGGTCGAGCGAATCGACGACGGCGGCCGTCGGTGCAGGATGTCGAAGACGAGATCGATGGCGGCGAATCGGTGCGGCTCCGCTCGATTTGACGCTCTGGATGGACGAGGTCGACGATGGCGATCCTCCTGAACTCGTCGGTGCGGCGAGCGGTGGCCGGTGGCCGCGGGCTTGACGACGGCGTGGTGACGTCCCGCCCGGCCGTCAAAACAGAGAGAGGGGGAGGGGTGAGCGAGAGGCTGTGGGGAGAGCGCGATCGAGGGGGATCTAGGGCTAGGGTTAGAGGGAGGGGCACCAGGGTCTTGTAGGCCGGGGTCGCCGGCCGGATGGCCGCCACGACGTCGGCCGGTGCTGTGGCGGGCATCGGCTCTGCCCACGACCCCCTCTGTGAACAACAGAGGAGGAGGCGACGTGGGGAGTGGGCTGGCCTGGCCTGCTGGGCCTTGGCCCAGGGGAGGGGGTTTTCCTTTTCTCTTGTTTTATTTTCTGTTTTGCCCTTTTCTTTTTTTGTTTCTTTTAATTACCTTCTATTTTCCATTTAAAACTTGAACCAAATGACTTTTGTAAAAAGTGGAGCCTTGACATATAAATACTATGCAATAAGCTGCACTGCCACCAAAAGTCTAGTCCCCATATAATTTAGTTTGATACTTTATTAATTAGTAATGGCATTTAAATCATTTTGATTGATCCTATTTTATTTATATTAGAGCATTTAAACACTTTATAAAAACGTGGTCCTCCATCATAATTACTTATGCATTATTTGACACAACCTGGACAATTTAGTTTAGATGTTCGAAAACTTTTGTGGTTTGCCATATTTTGAATTAGAATTTTGAATCCGTTTTTGAACTAACGTGAGGTTAACAACAGTAACCCTGGTGACGTGGCATCATTAGCAGGGAATTACTGTAGCTTAATTATCTGGGCGTCACAAAGAGCTAGTCGGGGAAGAAGGTCTTCCCATAGCCAATGCTATCATCAATCCTAAGAGCCATCTAGCTTTTTTTACTACACCGCGGGACCTATATGGGCCACCAATGTCGGGCTTAAATCCGACAGATCTCGGGTAGGGTGGTCCCGAGCAGGTGATCTTAGCTTGATGGTAACAGGATGAACAAGCGAAACGATGTTTACTCAGGCTGGGGGCCTCTAGAAGAGGTAAAACCCTACGTCGTGCTTCTGTTGTACTGATTTACTTGGAGTGCAAAGTACTCGATGATCTACTTCGAGATCGTATGTGAATGTATGATTTTCCCTACCCTACAAGCTAAAACCCAACGACTTATATAGGGATTAGGGGTACCTAGGGTTTACATGAGGTCGGTTACATCTAGGGATAAACATGTCGATAATTCAAATGTGTGTTGGACTATGCGCCCAGTCTTTGGAGGATTCCATCTTGAGCACATCGAGGGGCATGGTAGTCTTGTCCCAGTTGTTGATGATCCAGGGGGTCCTCGGCCTAGCTCACTATTAAGGGGCCGATGTGGTTTGCACCCCCTAGTTTAGGACACCGTCACCCGCACCTACACACCTCTCCCAATTGCACGCCACACCCGATGGCCTCTCTTGTCGGGGTTGGTTGGTTGTTTTCACCACCGCCGTAGCACCTCCACGGCCACGCCACCCCATGGAATCTGTTGCCCCCGGCATCCCTCCATGCTCGGCGGCCTCGCTCCATGATTGCCTCCACATTGACAGGTATGCTGCCAGGCCTAGGAGAGGCACGTGTCTCTTCACCGGATGGCTTCTTCCACCACGCCCGCAAGGTGTCCAACGTTTCACCTACAATGTACAAATGGATAGTGAAGACGAGTTCCTTTTCAACAACTTCATTTGTGATTCGGACGATTTGTCATCGGACGATGAGGAGTTTGTGGTTGTTACTTTGGTCGTCAATGACCACATTGCTAGGCAGCGGCCATTGTTTAGGGTCTTGATCCTGGGCCATGCCCCGGCATTAAATCACAACAGAGAGAGCGGCCATTGCCTACACTAGTCTGACTACTTTCAGTGCACATCCCGACTCTACAAACCCAAGCTATTCTGGCACCGCTTCCGGATGGCTAAACATGTGTTCAATCGTATTCGGGAGGGCTAATGGCATATAATGATTATTACTTCTAAAGTAGGAGGCCCTTGGAAAGGTTGGCTTCTCTTGTGAGAAATGCATTGCAGCTATTCAAATGCTTGCATACGGAATACCCAGTGATCTTGTTGATGAGTATGTTTGCATGAGTGAGTGCACATGCCTTGCATCAATGTACAAGTTTTGCAAGGCTGTGGTAGCAGTGTTTGGCCTGGAGTACCTGAGAGAGTCAAATGTTGCAGATACAACCCGATTGTTGGTAGTATATATTGTATGCACTGGAAGTGTAAGAACTGTCCGTCTGCTTGGCAGGGGCAGTATAGGGGGCATGTCAAAGCTTGCACTGTCATACTTGAGGCCGTGGCTTCACAAGATCTTTGGATTTGACATTCTTTTTCGGCGTGGCTGGCTCTCACAATGACATCAACATGCTTCAATGTTCTCTGGTGTTCTGAAAGCTTGCAGAAGGAAATTGCCCAGAGGTCAACGTTGAGATCAATGGCCACCACTACAACAAGTGATACTACCTTGCTGATAGTATCTATCCTCAGTGGAGAACCTTTCTGAAGACAATCCCCAACCTGGTAGGAGAGAAGAGGCAGAGATTTGCCCAAGCACACGAGAGTGCTAGGAAGGATATGGAGCGTGGCTTTGGTGTGCTTCAATCTCGATGGGCATCATTTGATATCCTGCTAGAATTTGAAGCACCAAAAAGTTGTGGGAGGTGGTGACTGCTTGTGTGGTCATGCACAACATGATCACAGAGGATGAGCGTGAGGATGAAATCTTCGACCAGGGGCTTCATTGTTGTGCCTGAGCATGGAGGAGCGGTAGGGCTTACACAGATTGCGCAACTCACACTCAACTTCAAGATGATTTGGTTGAGCATATGTGGACTCACCATGGCAATCATTAGATGTATCGGCTCCTTTTCTTTTAGATGTATTTGTGACAATTTATATTTCATTTAGTTATGAACTATAAGATTTTATTTGTTTATAAGACTGAGATTTTTATTTGGTTGTGAATTATGTGATTTAAACTTTGGGCAATGTAGATATACTATGCAAATGATTGTGCAAACATCTGGCCACATGCCGACCGTGCAAACGAAAATGCGGCGCGTTGGCGGCACAGACCAGCCAAACACAAATGGAGCCGACGCCGTCTAAAATGCCGATCCAAACGAACAAAAAAGAGACAAAATGTGTGTCTGATTACGTCGGCGCGTTGGAGTTGCTCTAATCAGCTGAGCTAGACTCAGTTCGCGCTTGGTTCTGCGTTGATATATCTTGACGCGCATATGGGTTGTCTAAAAAATGCAACAAATTCCACCTACATTCTTGTTATTTTTTGTTAATTTACTTCTCTGCTTTTTATCTGCACCCTTCAGAAAAACTTCAGAAAAAAAGAAGAAGAGGAAAACACACAGCAGGTTGGCTTTCACCCGTCCCCACAGCAGTTTTTGTTGCGTTGCGTTGGCATCTTCCTCAGAAGAACCCATCCATACCTGCCATTGTTGACTTATTTCGGCAAAGGCCCACCGGAAGAAGAACGCCTCCTTCGGAAGCTGCCGAGCTCACCAACTCCATCATTGCTGCCAAGTCTGAAACCCTTTGCCTCATAATTCTGTCGACGCTCTCGGATTTCTCGGACCGCTCCCCACTTACTGATAAGTATCACTGATAAGTAAGTTCGTTCCGACCTTGTGCTCTTGGTTGCTGCATTCACACATGTTTTGTCACGATTCGTGCTGCGGTTTTGTAAATTCGGATTGATGTTTGGGGTTCGGCTTGGGACGGCTGATTTCTGGGTTGAAGCGGATGATCGGTAGGTCTGAAACCCAGATTGATAGAAAGGGGGATTTTGCTGCCCGTGCCTGCGACCGGGAGCATGCATGCCATTTGTTTGTGGAATTGCGGCAACAGAGAACTGATTCTTGAATTCTTGCGAGAAAAAGCTTCGTCTGTGTGGCGATTCGACTCTATCAGGAGTTGTTTTAGTGTCCTGAAGCGAAGCCATGGACGTCGTGCAAACAATCGCCTCGGCCGCGCAGCTGGTGTCTGCAATGGTGACCGCGGTGGGAGCGCTGGAGCAGGCGGCCGCGGACACCGCTGAGGCTCCGAGGAGGCTCCAGGTGCTCGAGGACTTCGTGTCGGACCTTGAGGTGTTGGTGCAGCAGGCTAAGCAGAAGCACGCGCACAAGATGCACGGCCCACAGCTGGAGCGTCAGTTTCAGAGCTTGAGCAGGCTCATGGATCAGCTCCGTGCCAATATCATCAAGGCGAGGCGAGCCTTGAAGAAAGGGAAAGGGAAGGGCTTGGCTAGGGTGGTTTGGAGCTCGGTGGTGGGTGACCCCCTCATGAAGTACATTCAGCTGATCAGAGATGACCTCAACTGGTGGCTGGAATTGCAGAAGTTGACAGAGAACGTCGGCAAAGCTATAGCGTCTACTGCTAAGGCCACACCATCGTTGGTCAGAGTCAAGTCTGAGCAGGGCTATCCAGTGTCAGAGAAGTGTGGCTATGTTAGGGACATTTTGGAGAGAGATGATGGTCATCGAGTTGTCCTGATTGTTGGATTATCTGGTATTGGGAAGTCGTGCCTCGCTCGACAAATAGCTTCTCAGCCGCCTGGTAATTTTGTGGATGGTGCAATTGAGGTTACTTTTGGCCGGTGGTGCAGTAGAGCAGCTTGTAATGGAAGCAGAAGTGAGTACCATAAACGTCTTGTTAGGAAGATAAGCAAATTGCTAGTGCAGATTGGTTCCATGACTGTCAACGAGGATACGAGCAAAGATCTTGAAGATGTATGTTGCTTGCTTCAGACCGTGTTGGTTGGAAAGAGTATGTTAATACTACTCGATGACGTCTGGGAGCAAGACATAGTTGATCGCTTCACCAAGCTATATGATAATGATTGCCGGTATCTTGTGACAACAAGGGATGAAGCAGTTTATGAGATAGCAGAAGCTGAGAAGGTAGAAATATCCAAAGATGACATCAAGAAAATCAGCAAGGGCATTCTTCGCTATCATAGTCTGCTTAGTGCTGAAGAGCTTCCGGTATGCTTTGTTATTTTCCTTAGAATTCTTTAGTGAATTTATCGATATTGCCATGCCTCTTAGTTTTCTAATGTTAAATCTAATTTACACAATGTTCATCACTTCCCTTCATGAGGTATCCTGCAGTCTAGGTCTCATCCCTTTCTTTCATATGTTCATCTTCTGAGTTTCAAGATTGGCTTACTGTATCAACGCCCGGTCAAACAACAAATACTTATATCCATGCGAATCTACTTAGAGGGATTAATTGTGCATATTTTTGCCACGCAAGATATACTCAATCTAGAAATTATAATTGCTACAAACTATTTTTATGTGTTCCTGGATGGTTACCTCTCGATACTTTACAGACTGTTGCAGACGACTTGCTGGACAGTTGTGGGCACCATCCCCTAACAGTTGCTGTCTTGGGTAAGGCCCTAAGGAAGGAGACCAGAATGGAAAAATGGGAGAAAGCAATATCCAACCTTTCCACATATGCAACTTGTGCACCAGGTCCAGTTTCATATGTGAACGAGAAAGAAGTTGAGACCACCTTGACCATATTTGGATCTTTTGAGTTCAGCTTGGAAGCAATGCCTGAAAATTCACGAAGGTTTTTCATGGTTCTCGCAGCTATTTCATGGGAAGAACCTGTTCCAGAGGCATGCCTTGAATCCGTCTGGTCAGCACTTGTGCAGGACAGTTTATTCCCTATTGTAGTTTCAAAACTAGTAGAAGGCTCGCTTATCATCAAACTGGAATACCAATCGATGTATCATATGCATGACATGGTTTCGCTCTACCTTGAGAATAAAGCAAATGATGCTGCTCATACTCTTCTGACTGATTCATTTCCTGAGTATGCTGCATTGGTGGCTCCTTGGCTTTTTATTTTTGGCAAAGAGACCATGAAAGGGCCAGCTGAGCAGAAGATGAGATCATTCTTTTCTTTGCTAGAGTTCATGGAGATTGAAATCTTACTGGGAAGCACCACCCAAGCTCTCATGGCATGCAAATCAATATCTGAATTTGAGGCTAGCAGACTTGGCTTTAGCAAACTGCTTGGACCTCGAATAGCAGAGCTAATTTCTGTTCACAAGCTCTTATCGTTGCTGTCACCAAAGCTATTACAGTCGTCTTTTTCCAAGGAGACTATGCAAATCTCGCCCTATCTATTGAAACAGCAGGTTCTGTTGATAAATTAATTTGTGTTCTTCGTGGCTATGAGGATTCTTCATCTCTAGCCAATGTTTCTGCTGTTCTTGCCAAGGTATCTGAGCATGTCTGTGCCAAAGCTGCTGACGAAATTTTGTCAAGCATTCCCATGGACAAAATTGCAGAACTACTGTCTCCAGAAAATGAGGAATGGCATGAAATTGTGTTCACAACTCTAGCGTCACTGATAAAAGTGGGAAATTTAAAGGCTGTCGAGATAATGATCGAAGCAGGAGTTGACAAGAAGCTCCTTGTACTTTTAGGTTGCGGTTCTGAGATCTCGCAGCATCATGCAATTATCATGCTGAAAACTTTCTGTGAGCTTGGTGCGCCACTTAAAGAGTGCATGGGGCCTGGACTGTTGATTCATTTGCCATGGCATGCTCGGCTTGCCTTGGAGAGGTTTGTTTTATCTGACCAAAATGTAGCCCCATCACCGAAGCCTCAATATTTTGAGGTGCTTCTTCACAGGATTCTACAGACAGACAGCAAAGATATTATTGAAGCTATCCAAGGTTTATTACCTCTTGCTGAGAGGGCTAACGATCCTAGGGTGCAAGATCTTCTTTTGGGAAGCAATCTGTGTGATAGGTTGGCATTTCTGCTGCAGCGCAGAGAACCTGAAAACAACCAAGTGAGGTCTCAGACTGCCTTTCTGGTAATGAAATTGGCCTGCACCGGAGCAGAGCCATACATCCGTAGGTTCTTGGAGCTTAATATTGTGCACGAGCTCATTGCCATGATGCAGTCCTCTACCAATGACCTCCAGGATTCAGCATACCATGCTCTCCATCAGATCGTGTATGCAAAGGGAGGGTCATTAGTCTTGCAGAGGTTTTTACAACTAGGGACTATAGAAAAATTGGTCAATCTGCTCGACCGTAAGTGCGTCAAGACAAAGGATCTCACGGTGCAACTTCTGGTGGACATTGCGGCGGTCGGAACCAAACCCTGCATACAAAGAATGCTCTCTTCCCAAGTCATCGAGAAACTTGTTTCCCTTGAGAAAGCAGGTGGGTCTTTCAGCGGGTCAGTGTCAAGATATATCCACGGATTGAACATGTGCGAGAATATCCAGTCTGCTGAGAGAGCAGTGATGAAGCAGCATATTTTGAGGAAAGTGAGATCGGCGGTGAGAGGGCATGATCTGGAGACGAGTCTAATTGCTTCTGTGGAGGTCTGCGTTTCTGAAGGCACAAAAGGAGCCAGCAGTAGCAGGAGAAACAAGTAGCATTATGCTGCAAACTTCAGTAATTGAAACATACATATAATCTTTGCTTTGAAAAGAGAAACATATATAGGTTAAGATGCTGCACGTTCAGATAAGAGCTTATTCATCAATATTTTGATAGGCGTTCCTTTTTCCAGTGCACGAGTTGTTTTCTTATAGAAAGAGAGAAGATCATGAAAGCTCATACTGTCGCACTGTCCATGGGTAGTTCTGGATAACTAGTCTGAGCAATCATCCATATCCACATCAGCCCCAGCGTACAAATTAACAGAAGTAGGTTTCCACGTTCAGTACATGTCCACAGTCCACAGACCAAAGCAGTCAAGTCTATTGTGTTAATGAACTGTGGTATTCTACCGAAGTTCCTTAACCTTGTAAGAGAAGCATTACCTGGTACAGTTTTTGAGTCTACTAGTTGATGCCCCGTGCGTTGCCGCCGGAATTTGTTGTGGATTTCTAAGTAACTTGCACACAACAAATAATTTAACAATTCAAATTAATAATATGAGATTTCGTATAGGTAATGATAAGCCACAATATGATTGCTTTCATATAGAGGCAATGATTAAAATTATTAGTGGTATAAATATATATATTGTATTGATTGTGTGAACCATATCTCAGCATAATCTATTTCATGTTGTTTGGAGGAGTGTCTTCTTCGACCAATAAGTAGTAGAGAAGAGTAATATAATACAGGCGGAATATAAAATTTATTCACTCTGATATATATTTGATTTTGTACTGCTGAAGGCGCATAGAAGTATATGAGATTGTTCCTCCGTTACAATAGAATTTTTCTCCCACTCAGTTACATTAGAACTGATCTCCCACTGAAACAATTGGTAAGGACATGTGATAGATGACATAGAGCAAGGTAAGTAAATTGAGAAAGGTAATTAATAAATTATTACTTTTTAGAAAAGGAGAAGGACCCCAGCCTCTGCATCTGGATGATGCATGTAGCCACTTTATTAATTGTTCACACAAGACGTTACAAAGTCATACAACAGTAAGACTAAAGCTACCGTCTAAACAACATCTATCGCTACTCCTATCCAGTTGATAAAGGGATGCTGATAGTCTGGGCCTAATACCAAACAGACCTCGCAGCCAAATCTAACATCTAAAACCCGAGGTCCCAACCAGGACTCCTGCCGGGTATGGGGCACCCACCAGTCCGGCGCACTCCTCAACCAGGACGCCTGCCGGGTATAAGGTCGCCGCAGCCACCTGTCACCATACCATCTTCAGTGTTGTACTGCTACATCTACCTTGCCCGGTCTAGCTGCCGTCGACGCCACCACGATGCCAGACAACGCCACCATCATGCGCTCGTCCATCATCACACGCCCACCAGCGAGACCCCGCTGCTCCATGCCGCTGAGACCCACCGTTGTCGACGTGCCAGATGCCACGCCGCTCCTCCGTCGCGAACACCACCTGTGCCACTGGTCCCATCCCCTCCGCCTGTAGTTCCTCTAACCGAGCACCAAAACGCCCCATGCGGCACCTCCAAGAAGGGTACGACACACGCAGTGCCGCCGCCGTCCAATCTAAGGAGATTTTGGGTTTTCACCCGGGCATGGGGTCAGGGTGGAGGGCAGGGACCTCGACAACGTCTGAAAGGAGGACAACGGCGACCCTGGTCGTCGCCACCGTCGGGATGAATGAGTCATCCAGAGTTTCCTCCGGTCCGCTGGCACCTCCACCAGCCCCCACGAATGCACCGAGGCCGACGACCGCGATCTTAAGCCACAAAGTGCAGCGGGAGAGAGCCTGCATCACGGAGGAGATCCACCGGCACCTCACCGCCCACGCGGTCAAGACGTCGTCCATCCACCCCCCGCGAACGTCGCCAGCCGAGGGCGCCGTCGCCATGCCTAACGGGGCCGCCGCCCCAGGTCCAGGTTCCTTCACGATGGCCGGAGTGGCGAGATCCTCCACAAGCGACGAGATTCGGCACCGCGTGGCCGACGCCATTGCCCAAACCAGCCGTCGATCGATCCCGCCGCCGCCGGGAGCCCGCCCGCTGCCGGGAGTCCCACACCCATGGATCTGGGCGCCCGTGCACCGCCGCGATCCCGCCGCCTCCGGGATCCACCACACCATCTGGAGGGCCGCATCCCGCAGATCAGGACGCCCGCGCCACCGGGGATCCGGGAGAGAGATGAGAGACCCTCCGCCGCCGCCGTCGCATGCACGGGCTTTGCCCGGCGCCGGCCATCGGCATCGGCGGAGGGGGAGAACCGCGCTGGAGAGTTACTAGGCGGCGGCTAAGCCCTCTTGAGCCGCCCGCGGGGGAGGCGACGCCAATTAATAAATTATCTAATGAACGGACCAAATGTAATAAACCAAGCAACCATATAGCAGGAACCAATGAAGGTAGCTACCTGACATATTGATCGAGACGGGGGACACACGGCAAAGAAAACAAACAGACCGCGATACACCCATTGGCACCTGCAGAACATAACAAAAAGGAAGCCAGCACACACATACAAAGAAGGAATATGACGCAATCAAGAGCAACGGAGAACACGACTTGGTCCTCGCATGCGGCAACAACAGCATCCGGCTTCAAAGAACGACTCTCTGCCAGCCGGCTACACCGCGACTCACAGCGGACGTGGCACCCAGCCCGCGCGGGAAAGGCCCTCGGCCAGGACGCCGCTCGTCCCTGTTAGAATTAGAGATAAATACCAACTGTAATCTCCTCTCTTTTGTATCTCTCATGTATCTATCTCTTCTCCTAACGACAACTTGTAACGACCTGAATATTGTAATCTCCTCTCTTTTGTATCTCTCCTGTATCTATGTCTTCTCCTAACGACAACTTGTAACGACCTGGATCCTAGCGATCGGGTTGCTATCCTTGTACGCCACGACAGAGGTTGTTTCTGCCTCACATCAATATATACTGACGCGGCTCCTCATCGAGGAGTAGAAACGCTTAAACCTTACATGGTATACAGAGTCAATTCTCTTCCCAATCTAGCTACGAGAACCCATCTCCATCGCCATGTCTTCCTCAGCACCAGTCGTCCTCAACCTCGGATCTCCACCAACCGAAAAGCTCAGCAAGGGGAATTACCTCTTGAAGGCCCAGATTATGCCCGGCCTGCGAGGAGTGCAGGTCATGGGGCTCCTGGATGGAACCGACGCCGCGCCCCCTCGCATGGTGGAGCAGCAGCAGTTGGACAAGACCACTATCATGGTGCCAAACCCACTATACGCACCATGGCTATCAAAGGATCAACAAGTTCTTGGTTTTTTTGCTGAACTCCCTCTCCAAAGAAGTCCTCACCCAATTTATTGGTAAGGAACATACTTTTGATTTATGGACTGACATCACTACCCTCTTTGCATCGCAATCTTACAAACCTAAGAACCGCCATCACCACAACAAAGAAGGGCAACCTGTCAAGTACCTCCTACATCTCCAAGATGAAGAGTCTTGGGGATGAGCTTGCGGCTGCAGGGCGTCCTGTCATAGATCCTGAGATGGTGGATTATGTGCTCGCTGGATTGGATCGGGACTATGATCCAGTTGTGGCGGCCATCGGAGCTGTCAAATCCGCCATCACCGCCGATGAGCTGTTTGCTTAGATCGCCGCCTTCGACCAGCGCCTGGAGATGCTCGGTGATGGTGGTCAAGGCGGCTTCCAGACGTCCGCCAATTTGGCCTACCGTGGGAGGCGATCTCCTTTTGCCCCAAGCGGTAGCAACAGAGGAGCTCGAGGCGGTCGTCCACAACCA